AGTGACAATCCCATATCTCTACAGTCTCCATGATGGGGTTTATCGGAGACTACCTCCAGAATTTGGGAGTGGATAGCCAGAGAGAGACTGCCTGCCTGCAGTCCTGACCTCATTGAACACTTGTGAGATCAGCTTGGACGTGCTGTTCATGACAGTGACCAACACAACCACATTGGCTGACTTGCAACGAATGCTGGTAGAAGAATGGGATGCTATCCCACAGCAGTGTGTGACCAGGCTGGTGACCAGCATGAGGAGGAGGTGCCAGGCTGTTGTGGCTGTGTATGGTTCCTCCGCACGCTCCTGTTTGTTAAATGAATAAATTGTTACAGAGCCAATATGTCTTGTTTATTCAGACTTGTAACCTCTTCCTCTCTGAGAAAATTGACATGCACCTTGTCTGTATGTGGTTGTCCATTTGTGCTGCGTTGCTGTAGCCTCTATTTATATCTTGACCGCTCGGAGGGAAGTCTTGAAATGCCATAAGTTGTCCAGCTGTCTCAGGAGTCGTTTGAACAGCTTGCATTACAGGTTTAGTTGTGGCAAATAATCCTAGAGCATCTAATTCTCTAATTTTCTTCAACAGTTATTGGGCTCAATTTTCTAAGAAATCTGTCAGATCATGAATGTGAGTCTCTTTATGTTTTTTCGTAAACTATGGAAATTAACTTCAACTAAGCGTCACTTAAGCGTCAACTAAGAGCTCCACCAATTAATAAATCCTTTTGAATTAGTTAATGGTGGTGGTGCATCTTGCGTTTGTTAAAACAAAGAAATAATCTACCAAACACAAATGTCCCTACTTTTTGTACAACGTATATTTATGAGAGAGACAGAGAGAGAGAATTAATGTCAAAAAACATCATAAGCAGTGAAGTAAAACATTTTATTGTTTGATTTTCGATACATCACCAACCCTTGATGCAGTTGTTCCTGATTTGTGTCAGGGTCCTTTCTTCATTGAAGTCTCTCTGACCTCTTTCCTCATTCTGTATGTTATCATCAATCTTTGATAAACATCATGCACAAAGAAACTCGATTCAAAACGCGATTCAATTCTGCCAAGACAGGAAGGGGGCTGGGTGAAAATGAAAAATAGGAAACTTGATCTTCCCTGCAGGCTGGAGTTGATTTAAGTCAAGATTTAACTGTTATCACAGTGCTAAGTACGGCACTGACCAAAAAGACTTTACAATCTGTTAATGAATATAACAACAAACACACAAATGATCTTCAAATATGAAATGTTTGTCCCCAACTCACACCAAATACATCTCACAATGAGCAAAGTGCTGTGTTTATTTATTAATCTGTTTATTTGTCAGGGACATTACATGTAAGCATTGTTAAATCTAATTAAAGTGCAACAGATGTAATGTATCTAGGACTTGTAGACATGGCTAATTTGCAGTCCTTGTTCCGGGTTAGGCTTTGAAGAAATAACACAGATGATAAACCAACACAGTAAAATAGACATACAAACTGACATTTGCAGCAGATAAAGATGCATAAAAACAAACAGTAAAGCAGACATAGACACGCTGATTGAAAATAATGACTAACTAAACACATACTTTATGCTATACTCACCAGATCAAAAGATCACTGTACGAGTTGTTCTGTGAGTTCAGGACCACCCTTATTTTTAAAGCAGCTGACTTTTAAGAAACATGTTGATTTACAGGAACAGTAGAAGCTACGTGCTCTCACGTCTTCTGCAGGTTAATAAGAGCATGCCACACCCTGAGAAGTAAACAAGCACTAAGATTGTGGTGAAACTTCCTCGTCTCTGAGATGTTGCATGAAGCAACAGTTTGTATGTCTGACGATTTCAGCAGCTGTCAATTGACTTCTACAAAAAATATTACTTTACTTATTTAATTAATTTATACATTTATTTGTCAGGGACACTATGTTTAGGCATTGTTACATCTTGTTATACCTAAGTGCAACCAATGCAATGTATATGGGACTTCATGGTTAATTTGCAGTCCTTGTCCCTGGTTCGGCTTTTAGGAAATAACACAGATGATACAACAACGCTGTCCAACAGACATAAGCAGCGGCATAGATGCATAAAAACAGTAAAGAAAACATAGACAGGCATGTTGATGATAATGACCAGGATATAATAATAATAATAACAATAATAATATAAGGGTTATCTCAACCGGCTCACCTTTACAGGTACTCTCCCCTGCACTATCTGTGAGCCGGTGGAATCGCTCTCTCCATTTTCCCTCCCTCACGTTACCCCCCTCCAAACTGGACATGAGTTAAGTGGCTTCTGCAGGTTTCAAATTGGACACCCCCCTTCCTCGATGTTTCGTCTGTGCCGTTTGAGATTTGTTGCTGTATGCAGATGTATTAGGCAACAAACTGTTTCTTCATCCTGCATACCCGTACTGCAAGCATCATCATTTTTGTTTCAATTATCATTTTAACGAGGCTGACCAGTTCTATTATACAAGAAAAAACAATGAAGAACCTAACAGATGGAGGTTTACAATGTTGAAGCTAATAGACTCAGGTTTGTGCAAATAAACAACAAAGGTATGTTATTTTCCCTGTGTCTCAATTTAGGGAAAGTCAGTGTTGGTTTTACTTCATTTTACAACATTTGTTCTGATTTGGAGCTATACAAATAAAGATTGATTGATTTTTTCAGAGGAGATGAGGGATCTGGCTCATGTTGTCTCAGTGGTGTTACCTCATCATGAAGCAGGTGTTCTCAAGAACTCTTGGCACTTGATTTCCTGATTTCTTTGTGTGTTGAGTGACTGTGTTGTTTGATATTCATTGCTCTATGCAGCTGAATGAAGGAACAAACTGTTTTATACTGCATACCCGTACTACCAGTATATTTTCACCCTGTGTATGTTTCAAGTGTTAACTGTTGAAACATTTTGACAACACCAGCTGGTTCTATTAGAAAAAAATAATTCAGGGTCACTGGTAGCATAGTGGTTAGTGTGCCAGCTTCCTTATGGAGGTTGTAGTTCTTTAAGTGGGCGGTCCGGGATCAATTCTGACATAAAGCTCCTTTTCCACATGTCATTCCACCCCCCACAACATGGGGGAAGAGAGACTTCTGCAATGAAGGGAACAGCTTTGTTAAAGTGCACCATCTATTGGACATCTTCTCTCAAAGTTTCAAATGATAGGCGTCTATCTCCTGAAATAAATAAATAAATTACAAATAAGTAAGAATGATCGTTAAGGTTTATTGCTTACTGAAGTTTAATTGGATCAGATGAATCCTCTTTTACAGAAGCTTATTGCAATAACTAGTGAAAATAAAAAATCTTGTGTTTTTCTGAATAAATTAGTTAAGCCTCTAGTTAGTTATTAAAAACGGGGCAGTTTTTTTCCCTCTCAATTAATGAGATATCTAAGTCGTTAATTCAGACAAACAGGGAAGATTTATATTTTCTTAAGTGAAAGCCATATCTTTGTTTTTCTCCCTCAAAACACACACACACACACGTGCGCTCGCGTTAATGATTAAAATTGAATATCTGTATTATAAATTTCGTATGAATAAAGTGATGTTTAAATCAGTACTATGACCAATAGATGGCAGTGAACGCTCATCACAATAAGTGCTAAAGAGAGTGTAGACAGTTACAAGGAACAGAGGGTTTTATAGTTTTAAAACTACTTATTTAATATAAAATATATCATTATTACAAAGCTTCAGAAAATAATCTTTAATATTAGCATTTAAGAAAAATCTAAGTTGTTCTTCAAGTCAAAAAAATAAACTAAGTTTGTTTAAATGATTTTATTTAAAGACTCAAGAACATCAGTTTAAACTTGTTATAAACATTTTGATATCAACACTCATTTTTCCTGATTTTTACAGTCTATGATTAGAACAGATTACTGATATGTGCAGCTGGATTATAAATCAGTTTAGTATACAGCACTTAAAAACAGCAGAGCTGTACAAAATAATAGTTAAGCTATATTAACTATATATATATAGTATATATTATAAACCTTTATACAAAAATAACATTATCACTATGAAGACAGTCAATGGGCATGTTTCAATGTGATTTAATGCTAAAAGTTATTCAGTAATACAGACATTTAAAAACAAACTGTTTTAAATGGGATTGGATGTCAGAAGAAAATAAAAAAAAACATGAAGCACATTCTCTAAAATGTGAAGCTAAAAGTCAAAAGTTGATTCATATAAACAACATTTGAGGATGAGATGAATCACATAGATCAATAATGTGAGAAGCATTGTGCTGCAGCTAGACTTACTCAGTCTGCATTTCTCTTTTTCTAGCTGGTTATTTCTAACTTCTAAATTTTCACTGTAGTCAGTTCTTCATATTAATGTGTTCATTTACAAACTAATTTAATTTGTTTCATGGTTTTTCTCTTTTTAACATCTTATTTTCAATTAATAAATCAAAATGTACACATTGTTTTGACAGCACAAATAAGTACTGAATGCTATTTCCTTAACAATACTTGAACACCCTGTGGTGTTCAAGTGGACCCTAGTAAATACTTTCTCTGCATCGTCAGCGAGCATGTCAAGGATCATGTTAAGACTGCTGTAGGTAAAGGCAAAAGAGAGGCCCATTGATACTGGGATTCCAATTATTGGAATGAATCTGGTCCCCTCCTCTGCTGCCAGTAATGCAGCTAAACTGCCGAATTGAACCAACAACCTCATTAAAAGTTCAGGAGTTACTTTTACTGCTATCAGAGTTGACTTGATGACTTCCATCAATTCTTCATAAGGAACACCTGAGTAGTTTGCCATTCTCTTCAGTGATGGGATGTCAAGACCAAACCCCAAAACATATTTTGTGACGACACCGACCAGCAAGGCTGTATCAACAGCAACAGAAAGCCCCGGAACTGGCACAGCTCCTACAGCTGCAGATAGCATAGCAAAGTATTTGACCTTTGCTTGGAAAGTCTTTTTCTTTTCTTTGATCATGTCCAGACTGATATTGGGCATGGCAAGCAGAAAGACATCCTTCTGGAGTTCAGGAAGTTCTTCCTTCAGGGGTCTCCACTAACAGAGGGAAATCATACAGTTTCAGGTCAAAGCTGGACACCAAGAAGACCTGAGGAGACTGGAGACCTTGATCCTGAAGACCTGTGTCAGGAAAAAGAAGTTATTAAGGGACAGTTCTTTCTTAGATCAGCAAATTAGAATTATTGCCAAGAAGAATTGTTACAACAAAGAAATAATCTACCAAACAAATGTACCTTACTTTTTGTGGGATGTTTATATATATACAGTAAATATAGATAGAGAGAAAATAATACTCAAAGTTAATGACAGCATTAATGTCAAAAGAACATTCTAAGCACTGAGGTAAATCAGTTTATTATTTAATTATTTCTTAAAGGATATATCACCTACCCTGGATGCAGTTGTTCCTGATTTGTGTCAGGGTCCTTTCTTCATTGAACTCTTTCTGACTTCTTTTCTCATAACGTATGTTATCATCAATCTTTGAGCGAACAAAGTAGAACTTCTTCTTCATCTTTTGAATCTCCTTAGCCAGCTTCACATCATTTTCTTTGAAGCGATCAGCTGAGATGATGATGAAGAAGTCAAACTTTTTAAATTCATCCGTCTTCAGGTACTTAGCAGCAGGATAACCAGCGTTGCCGATACCAGGAAGATCCCAGATTGTCACTTTGGGATAGTTTGGATGGGGATACGATGTGACCTTCATGGTGGTTTCTACAAAACCAGTAGGAGCAGCTTTCTCATCCTTGTTGTCTGTACCTCTAATGGCATTAACAAAGGTGGATTTACCAGAGCCAGTCTCTCCTGTGACAGCAATATTTAGAGGAACATTTTGGTCCTTGTCCAAATACTCCTGGATCTTTGCACCAGCTAAGTTTTGATCATCATCCAGAGCTTCTTTAATTTCTGTATCTATTTGTTGACGACCAGATTGATTCCCCATGGTGCTTCTTGAAAACTGGAATAAAAGAGATGTTATAAAGTCACTATAATCCTCTGACAAATAAAAGTGAATGTAAGACTACAATGATAGACATCACACACAAAAAAGTATGATAGAAGAAAACACTTTTATTTGCAAAAAGGAAGGGTTCTGAGGGAAAAAGAAAAACAGGAAACTTGATCTTTCCTGCGGGCTGGAGGTGATTTAAAACTTTGACTGTATGCCACTGACCAAAAGACTTTATAACCTTTTAATTAATATAACATCAAACATACAAATGATCTTCAAATATGTAATGTTTGTCCACTGCCTTTTAACATGAACATTATGATGATGAAGACTTACATGAATTCATCCCTTTTAGCAAAGCTGAGTTCACTTTTATTGAAATATTCATGAATCCCCTTTATTTCTTTGTTCTTTGCACTACGATCAATTAATTAATTCAGTATTCATCTTTTTCATACAGCTCTTGTATATATGTTATACTGTTTGCTGCATATAGTTCTGTTTACATCTGTTAGTATGTCCCCCCCCCTCATCACACAGCCTCTGTCTTAGTTCTCCTTTGTCCCAAATGAACTATCCAACATCACCGCTAGTATATGAAGTGCTCAACCGGTACCCTCGACCCCATCCCATCCAGTCTTGTCAAAACTGTCTCTGAGCCATCCTGCCACTCATAACCACAATCATCAACTCCTCCCTCTGTTCTGGTTCAGTCCACCAAACACTCAAACTGGCAGCCGAAACCCCAATCCTCAAGAAACCTGGACTCAATTCTGACAGCATATGCAATTTCTGACCCATCTCCAACCTCCCCTTTCTGTCAAAAATACTAGTGTTGTCGCCTCTCAAATAAAATCCCACCTCTCTTCCAATAACCTATTTGAACCATTCCAGTCTGGCTTCAAAGACACCAACAACCTCTTCCTCTCATTAGACTCTGGCCACCTCAACATCCTCATCCTTCTCTACCTCACTGCTTCACAATAGACAAGTCCACTCTCTCCCCCTCCCCTCATATCTGCAATCTTAGAGTCATTGTTGACAGCCACCTCTCCTTTGATCACCACGTCACCCAACTCACAAGAACCGCCTTGTTCACCTTAAAAATATAGCCTGTTTCCGTCCAATACTCTTATTCTCTGCTGCTGAAACCCTAATTCATGTATGTATTACATCTGGACTCGCTTAATGCAATAGTATCCTGTACGGCACATCATCCAAAGTCCTCAATAAAATCCAATACCTCCAGAATTCTGCTGCAAACCGGATCACCTGCACCCTATCACCCCTGTCCTGCAAGATCTCCACTCACTGTCCTGCTTTAATTTAATCTTTATTTGCAGTCGTGTACTCTGTACATTCTGGTGAAGTCTTACTAGGAAGGCGAACTTCTCACACTTACTAAACAGAACAGGCTCCATCTGCATACACCACAATCAGGCTCAGTCAGCAACCAGGAGGGACACATGTTACTAACTTACAACAGTGTTGCTAAGCAACCACAATGATATTCTGTGAGAATATTAAACTCCTCACACATAAAGCCTTTAACCACAAGGCCCCTTTCTACCTCATTGCTCTCCTACTTGTCACACTTCATGCAGCCTTCATTCTCCCAACACCAACCTTGTATCTTCCCCACATAGAGCCAAGCACCAAACCTGGGGGGACAGGGCTTTCTCCATAGCTGCCCCCTCCCTCTGGAACTCACTCCTGCACACATTCAACACTGCACTGACCCTTCTACATTTAAATCATTACTCAAGACTCACCTCTTCAAAAGAGTTGTTTTGGTCTTACTGTTTTTTCTTGATCTATCTTTTTTAACCAATGTAGTGTCTTTGAGTTCCTGAACAGCACTTAATAAATAAAATGTTTCATTATTATTATAACAATGTAAAATAAACATAAAAACTGACATTTGCAGCACACATTGAAGCAAACAACAAAAAAAACAGTAAGCAAGAAAATGGATAATGACTAATAATATATAACCAACAGAGAAAATAAAACTGAAATAAAATCACAATATGAAAGCACCCACAAACACAAGGAACATAAGATGACCTGACCTAAGAGTAAAGGTCAGTAGCGACTTAAAAATGCCAAACAACTGAACACATCTTTTATGCTATACTCACCAGATCAAAAGATCACTAGTTGTTCACCTTTAAGAAAAGTAGACACAAAGTAGCATAGAAACAGGAGAAAAGTTTAGCAGAGTTTATTGAGGCAGCAACCAATCAAAAGTGCTTCTGTGATTTCAAGACCACCCATTGATTATTTTTAAATCACCTGACTTTTAAGAAAAATAATGATTTACAGGAACAGTGAAAGCTGCGTGCTTTCACGCCCTCTCCTGGTTAATAAGAGCATGAATCTTTATTGTGGCTGCTGGTAGAAATCCTCCTTTTCTACTCTTTTGTTTTCAAAGCTTTGCCTCTTCAAAAACTAGTGATGTTGGGAGCCCTTATTGTGTGATATCTTCAGCTTTCAACAGAAGCTTCCGGATGGTTCCGCATGGTGGTTTTGATTAGTGCATGGTTGTATTTGTGGAATTTGAGATTTTTACAAAATTACAAATGTAATTTTCCATGGTAAATATTGAGAGAAAATGTTTTTCATGTGTTATGTTACTTTGATTTCGTACTTCTTAGAGAGTGGGGGATAACATGCAGCAAAGGGCTAAATTCAGATTCGAACCCACGGCACAGCCGCTGCGACGGTGCTCATCATAACCACTAGGTTATCTGCAAAATTTTCGGATTAGAAAAAGGCTAAACGAGAAGCTCCCACAATTTATCTGAGACAAAAATCGATTAATTGATTAAACACAATGTTTTTCTGCAGTGTTTCTCCTTCAGTGCAGCAGCAGCTGTGGTGATTTTACACCAATAACTTTTATGTATTAATCATCGCTTTTCATTATTTTAATCTGTCAAAACCAGACAGCTGGTATCCTTCCTTTAATCTCCTATAATGTCAATACATTTTGCATCATAGAAAGTTAGGTCTGTGAGCATAACTTTATCTGTCTGTCTGTTTATATTCCACATGAAATACTTTTATGTAAACATTTCACAGTTTAAAGGAAGAGTAGAACCTTTATTTTGAAGTGATAAAACAATTTCAGCACACTTTGCCAATCAGAAGCAAAGGGGCACTGAAAGCCAACCCCCCACAATGAAAGTGTTCATTTTGTTTTTATGAGAAAAAAAGGAAAAGATTTGAGCTAATATTTTCTTTATTTTTTTCGCCAACAAAAAAGAACGGAAACACAAAACAAAAACATAACCTTAACGTTTTTAAGATTTTGTTGTCTTTTACGTCCTTACAGAAATTAATAACTCACGATCTGAAAAAGGAAAGAAGAAAATCCGTCATCTGTAGCAGTTGAAAGCCAGTAAAAACTTTGACCAATGTCTGCCACGAGGTACCAATCTGATGAACCAATCAGATGCCTCCCTGTCTCCCTGCTCGTTCTCTACACCTTGAATGCACTAGCTCACACTCAAAGTGTTTTACTGTAGTTTATACTGTGAGTTTACTTGCCGCTGAATGAGACGACGTAGTTTCTACACAATGCAAGCGATGAGCTGAGGGCCGCGTTTGGAGCAACAGCGCTGGTGCATGTGAGGGGGCGTAGCTTTTGAGGGAGCACAGAGGGAAGGGGGGGGGGTGTAGACGGAGCACTGAGGGAAGGCTACTTTCAAAATCATACTAGTTTTCAGGAAAATTACCAACACTGCCTTTAATTGTCGTTTTTGCCATGAATTGAAAAAATAAAAAACGACCTGTATCACACACTGTCAAAACAGTCTTAAATGTACCTTGGTCAAATCGGTACCAATTACTGTGCGCCCCCGCTTCTGCAATCGGTGGGCACGGTTTCACAAACTGTGTGCACAGATTTGCACTAAAAATCAAATCTATTTTTAATATAATTTAATTTTATCTGGCCATCAGAAATGTGTCAAATGTTTGTATAATGAAGAATCTGAAAGTGTTATTAGGTCATTATGAACTGCTGGTTCATAAGTTTAAATAAAATTATCAAAATGGAACTGTTTTTTTCTGTCTTTGTGTGCAGACAGTTACATGGAACAGAGGGTATTATGGATCGATAACTAAATATGTATTATTGAATCTTTTATTACTACAAGGCTACAGAAAATTTACAGAAGACGATTAGGGCCACTGAAAAAAAATGACCCTAAACATCTTCTGTGAGAAATAACCTTTTTAATTTAAACATAAAATATGTGTAGTGGTTCTTAACAAGTCAAAAAAAAAAAGCTTGTTTTAATGATTTTATTTATATTTTATATTTTATTTATTATATTTTATATTTTATTTATTATAAGATTCAAGAACATCAGTTATATGAAACATTTTGATATCAACACTCATGTTTCCTGATTTGAACAGATTACTGATATGTGCAGCTGGATTATAAATCAGTTTAGTATACAGCACTTAAAAACAGCAGAGCTGTACAAAATAATAGTTAAGCTCCATGCATTATAAACCTTTATACAAAAATAACATCATCACTATGAAGACGATCAATAGGCATGTTTCAATGTGATTTAATGCTAAAAGTTATTCAGTAATACAGACATTTAAAAAAAATGTTCTAAATGGGATTGGATGTAAGAAAAAAATCAAAGACTTGACTGATATTGGGCAATGCAAGCAAAAAGACTTCCTTCTGTAGTTCAGGAAGTTCTTGGTTCATGGTCTCCACTAACAGAGGGAAATCATACAGTGTCAGGTCAAAGCTGGACACCAAGAAGACCGGAGGAGGCTGGAGACCTAGATCCTGAAGACCTGTCAGGAAAAAAAGTTATTTGGAGACAGTTCTTTCTCAAAGCAGAATAACTTCTTATTCACTGAAGTAGTTTGATCTCAACAGAGAATTACTTTAATCAAATAACTTTACAGATTTGTAGTTCCAAGGGGTTTTATTTCTTTTGACATAACAAAACACTTTAAATAGTGTAGCATTGCTTTTTCAAGTTTCCCTTTTTTGCCACATATACAGAGATAAAAGAAACAGAGAGTATAATATTCT